GGGGGATGCTAAGGATTGAACCTGGGATCAAACCCAGGTCAGCCACCATGCAATGGGAGCACCCTATCCACTGTACTGTCTCTTTTGTTCTTATTTTATTTTACTACTACATTTTCTGGTTGTTAGGCTGCACATAGCAGTGCTCAGGGCTTCTATTTCTGTGCTCAGGGATCACTCCTAGGAACCTAGGGGACTGTTTGGGATGCAAGCAATTGATGGCTGGGTCAGCCATTTGTAAGACAAATACCCTGCCCACTATACTATCTCTCTGGCTTCAGATGAAGTTATTTTAACCAAAATGTCATCTTGGAAAAATAGAAATGGGTTTAAAATTTCACCTAAATAAAGATTGCCCATATTTATTTATGTTTGGGCTCTTCACCTTTGATTTTTTGGGGTAGGGTGGAGTGGGTTTGTACCACACCCAGCAGTGCTCAAGGATAATTGCTGGCAGGGATTGGGGGACCGTAATGTAATGCCAGAGATAAACTTAGTTCAGTCGCATACAAGGCAAGCACGGTACCCACTGTAAGACTCCTCCAACCCCAGGGCTCTGTGCCTTCAAACTACTACCAGTCCTGTAGTCCTAGATCACAGAGACTATCCATCCTTCCTGCTAATGCTTGAATTCCATGTTATATAATCATTTATTCTAGCACAGGAGTTCTCTAACTCACTTGACCTACAGTCCTCTCTTCAGAAAAAGCATTATTTAGCATCCCCAGGAAATCTACCATCTTTAAATAAGCATAAAGTAAAACACCCTTCAATTTCTTTTTCTATGTTTTGCTATATGTATAACGGATGTTAGTCTGAACCTCTCAGTGGCTATCACGTGATCTGACTCTGATATATGACAGGACAGACCATATGCTCCTCTCCAGCTGCCCAAGGATTTACAGGAAAATAAGTACTGCTTAACTAGTTATTTAAATTGAAAGGTGCATGGACTGGAGAGAGATGGTACAGCTAGTAAGGTGCTTGCCTTACATGTGACTGACTTGGGTTTTACCCCAGCACCACATATGGTTCCAGAAAGCACCACCACGGGTGATCCCTGAGCACAGAGCTGGGAGTAAGCCCTGAGTGTTATGGAGTGTGGCCCCAAACCCTAAATAAATAAAAATGGAAAGTTATACATTCATGTATTAAAACATACTCAGTATAAAATTTCATGTAGGAAAAGGTATTCCCCTGACTTAGGCTTCTCATATTTCTCAACCCATATACTATTAATATTTTTGTCTCCTTTGTAATTATGTGTGTATGAAGGTACAATATGTTGGATTTTTCCCTCACTTTAAATAATATCTAAGTTTGGGGTGGGTGCTTCCTAAGTAGCGTACAGGGGCCTTTGGGGCCATTCCTGGCAATATTGCCCACCTGTACCAGACTGCTCAGTGCTAAGGTTTGGCATTGTGGCTCTAGCCTGGTGGCACTTGGAGCTACAAGGGCTACCCCAGCAGTTCTCAGGGGGCCTCTGAACTATACCTGGGAGTACTAGGGGGTGGCAGTACTAGACTTGGATTCTTGGACATGCAGTCACTTGAGCTATCTGCCCAGCGTCCTCTCTCTCTCCTGGAGTGTGGTTTAGACCACACCCTGCAGTACTAGTAGCTATTCCTGGATCTTGGCTCTTGGCTGTAGTGACCCCAGGCAGTGTTCAGAGAATTAATTATATGCTAGGGATCAAACTAGGGATCAAACCAGGCCTGGTTTCATGCAAGGATGTTTTATCTCCTGGTAATATCTGTGTCTCTTTTTTGTTTTGTTTTTAGTCCATTCCCAGTGTTGCTCAGGGTTCATTCCTGGCTCTGTGCTTAGGGATCATTCCTGGAAGGTACAGGAGATCACTGGGGTGTGGGGGATCAAATATGCGCTGGCTGTGTGTTGTACTACCTCTCTGGCCCCACTCTCTGTTTCTTTTTAACACAAATGGAAATGTGCTACAGTGAACTTTCTTTTACTTATATTTGCATAAATACTATGCATCTTGGAGAGCCCAGCAAGCTACCTAGAGTATCTTGCCTGCACAGGCAGAGCCTGTCAAGCTCCCTGTGGCATATTCAATATGCCAAAACCAGTAACGACAACAATTCTCATTCCCCTGACCCTGAAAGAGTCTCCAATCACTTGGAAAAGACGAGTAAGAAGAGGCTGTTAAAATCTCAAGACTGGGAGGAATAAAGACATTACTGGCACCCACTCAAGTAAATCGATGAACAACTGGATGACAGTGATACAGTGATACGTAAATACATAACTAAGGTAAATTTGTGTTTGACAATATCTATCGAAAGGAAAAATGCGGGGGCTAGAGCAACAGCACAGTGGGTATGGTGTTTGCCTTGAACCTGGCCGACCTGGTTTAAATTCTCAGCATCCCATATGGTCCTCCGAGCACCACCAGGAGTAATTCCTGAGTGTATGAGCCAGGAGCAACCCCTGTGCAACGCCGGGTGTGACCCAAAAAAAGGGTAAAAAAGGAAAAAGCAAATTGCCATTTGGATGAGCTAGAAGTATAGTTCCATAATTGGGAACTGGAGTAAGGGTGTGAGGTATTAAATTTGAATACTTTCCAGTGGTTTTCAGCAGCATGTTTAGTGCCATTATGCTTTTTGGAAGGCTAAGTAGATTGCTCTATATTACATTATATTACATCTATATTGCCTCCACCAGTTTTAGCTGTCTTCATTACATTCCTGCCCGGGGAGTGTTCCCAGTGACCTGGGTTAGGAATTGAGATCATGGGAATCCAAGATTTTCCCATGTCTTCTAGTACGTTTGTTCATAGCAACCATTCTGGTTGAAGTGCTCACCCTGGTCTGTGATTCTCAAACACGTGATCTTTTAGGGGGCAAGTACAAGCACTCCTGATTACATTTTTCAGTTACAGCACTTGTTGGGGTTCAGTACTTACCTTGTAGTACTTATATATACTTACCTTATACCAGGTGCACACTCTTTTTGTGGCACCGGGGGTCCCATTCAGCAGAGCCTCTGTATTGTGCCTGGCATGTGTGTGGGGGCACCAGGGAGCAAACCTGAGACTCCATGCTTATAAAGCAGGCACTTTTTACCATTGATCCATTTTTCTAGGCCTCCAAAAAGGAAATTTAAATCATTAGTTGCTGGGAAATCTTTCATTAAAGGTCCTTGAATAGAAGAGTGGTGAGGGAAAGGAATGGTATCAGTAGATGCAAAGGCAGTGTTAATACCACCTGAAATACCTCTTCTTTTTTTGTTTATGAGAAGCAGATAGGCAGAGAGGTAGGTAGACTTGTGTGTTGTTATATACATCGAATGAGTGCCAGAGATAGGTCAAGAATTTTGAACTTTTTAACTGGGTTTATTTTTGGCTGTGACAGAAAAATATGATTAATGACTTAAAAAGAAAATTATTATCATATGAAACATTTGCAGATAGGTTGTTAATTTTTTAATCATTTGATAAAATTAAAAAATTTTAATAATTAATGTTTGACGATGTCAGGTATAATATCTGTTATTTTCTTGATGATCCACTTATTTATACAATTTATTTTATACAGACCCTGGGCACAGTCAGGTTTTGCCATTGTCAGTTCATGTACACACCCCCCACAACTTTCCCTGCTAATTGGCCTCTTCATAAACAAACGGTTCCTCTTTGATAAGGCTCACATTCTCACTCTCCTTTTCACTGCTCTAGATACATGGATACTATAACAACCCACTATTCCTTCATAATGGTGCACATGCTCCTAAGGACTGCAGTATTAGTTTCACAAGGTTCGGGGGACCGAGTGTGCACTAACGATTCCCAATGACTCCAAACTTGGGGCAGTTGTTGATTCTTCCACTGGAATTTGAGTTGATTCTTCCACTGGAGGAGCACTCATTAAATTAGGCTGTAAGTTAGTAGTTACCCCTAAAGTCTGTGAGCTCTGGGCAAAAAAGGTCAAGCACAGCATATCCCAAACGCCTAAATTAGGGAAAATTTTCCCACTATTCAAGAGAAGTGCCTTCTAGGAAATGTAGTCTCTTCCTGGGGGCTCATGGGAAATGTAGTCTCTTCCTGAGGCCTTATGGGAAATGGGTCTCTTCCTGGGGCCTTGTGGGAAATGTAGTCTTTTGCTGGGGGGGCTTATGGGAAATGTAGTCTTTTGCTGGGGGCTTATGGGAAATGTAGTCTTTTGCTGGGGGCTTATGGGAAATGTAGTCTCCCGTGCGCATAAACGTAGTCTCTTCCTACAGAGCAGCCCTGGGAAGCGGCGCTTCAGCGCCGTCGCGCAACCAGTCCTGGTCCTCGCCCCGGCCTTGCACTGGAAACAGCAGCGTAGAGAGGGTTGCACAAAGTCACTCATCAGCGCGAATGATGCGGTTCCTGAAGATCGGCTTCAGGTGTTGACGTTTACTGATGTTAAACGCGCTGTTCCTTGCGGACCGACGTGAAGGATGGACCGCTACCTGGGGGAGGGACTCGCAGAATGCCCGGCGCTCGGATGTGGGCGGGACTTCCGGCCGGCTGAGCCACGGGCCGCCGCCTGCATCCGCTTGCGGACTCGGGGCGTGGGTGAGCCTGTGCCGTCGGCGATGACGGCGCCAGCAGGCGGGCGCGGGTGGGCTCCCTTAGCGGACTTACTTGAGTTCCGACCGGAGCCCGTTACTGGGGGCAGCGGTAATAACCGGGGGAGAAGTGGCGTTGCCGGTGAAAAAAGAGCCTGCGGCGTGTGCGTCTGACACCTGGGTGGCTTTCCGCCCGCCGCCTGGGCGCGGGACGGGAAGGTCCGGGAGGGGCACAGCGTGCCCAGTGATGCTCAGGACTTCCTCCTGGCCTTGTGCTCTGGGGGCACTCCTGGTGGTGCGCAGCAGTTCTGGGAATTGAGCCGGAGTTGGCTGTGTGCAAGGAAGCACCCTAAACCATGTTCTCTCTCTGACCCCTGCTGTGAAAGTACATCGCTTTATCCATCATTTTTTTTTAATGTGTTGTTTTGTTTCTTTTAACTTTTTCTTTTTAGAAAAATCAGCTAAATTAGTTTAAGCATGAAGCTTGTACTTAGTGCTTGCAGATCACTCGGTTTAGTGCTCACGACCATTCTACCATTCCTGAGCCCAGTGTGACACAGTGAGTGGTTCTGCCTCTGCAGGGTTCTTCCAGCCTTCCAAAGGAACTAAGTTCTCACCATTCTCCCAAAAGCTATAGAATGAGCACCTCTGAGGTGAGTCCTTTATTCCTTTCTCATTTTGTATTGTATGGATTTTTGAGGTTTATAAGAATCCATACATTAAATGGGTAGATAAAAGTAAAGGTAATCTTTGGAAGATAGTTTCAGCATTAGCTTGTATGTCTGATGTTATAAATGATCTTTGTTGATGAGTGTATTCCCAGTTAGCAGGTTGTTTCAAGTTCAGCTTACTTACGTGCTTTAAATTGTATTGAGATCTCACTCAAGTATTTAGTTATCTCCAGAGTCATCCAGCGTTTAAATCCATCTGCATGTCCACAAGTATATTGAATGCAAAAGAAGTACATCTTCCTCACTATGAGCATTACCTACTTTTTCTTCTAATCTCAGTTCCATGATTGAGTTAGAAAAACCTCTGCTTGCTCCTCTGTTCTTTACCACTCACATGGAATACTCACAAGCGTGAATTTTTTTTTCACCCACCAAACTATTATATATAACACCAGCTGAGAATCTTACAATCTAACTCAACTCTAATTGCAGTCTGTATCAAGAAGTTGCATCATATCCCACAGGTTCAGGATTTGGTTTGACAGGACTGCTTCCCACCCCATTTCAGATTACAGCCATAAATTCAGGCTATCACTTGTGTGTCTCTAACCAATCAGTTACAGAGCAGGTGTTTCACTAACCCCCTCTCCCAGGATGAGAGAGAGGGGTTATAGGTGGGGTTTTTGCTTAGCTTATTAAACTCAGGGAAACACTTTTACTTATTGGTTGAAGGATGTGATAAAGGATGCAGATAAACAAGAGGAAGAGATAGTCAGTGAGGTCTGGAGAGTGGTGAACCTTCTATACTCATTGAACTGCAGGGTATCACCCCACTAACAGGTAAGCACATCGCCAGCCTGAAAAAAATCCCATTCTTGGGATTTTTATGGAGGTGTCATCATCAGTTGATCAATCAGTTACTCTTATTTCCATCTGCTCTTCCTTTCTAGAGCGGTAGATAAAAATTCTGACCTTCTGTTCTTTCTGTTCACCACCCTTCATCCAGGGCTTATCCATGATCCCCTCATTAGGCAAGGTTCTCCTCATGCTCTTACCACAGGATCTTACAAGGTTTAGGGAGCTCTTCTACGAACCTAGATCCAAGATAATAAGAATAAGAATATACAAGTCTTTTCCTTTTCTCATTATCAGTTGTTTATGCAGTTTCTTTATACAGCTGTACCAAAATAAAAACCAAAATTTAGACTGGAGCGAGAGCACAGTGGGGAGGGCGTTTGCCTTGCATGTGGCCGACCTGGGTTTGATTCCCAGCATCCTATATGGTTCCCCGAGCACCACAAGGAGTAATTTCTGAGTGCATGAGTCTGGAGTAACCCCTGTCATTAAATCTCCTTAGATCAGTCTCTTGTTTCTCTATTTCTCTTCTAAATCATTGCTTCCGAAAGACAAATGTGATCCTGGTTCATATTAATTTTTACTGTATATCTCCAGGTTTTACTTCTTTGGTTCCTATTTAGCATCTAACTCCAGATGTGGGTGTTTACCCTAGAGGACTGTGTCATGGGTAATAGAGATAGGAAGCCTTTGTAGAAGGACTATAATGGTGTGCATCCAACTTTATCATTAGTCGTTAACTGGCTCTCTCTATATTGATTTACAAATGCATACAAACACAGTAGGGCTTGTATAATTCTTTAGCTTTTCAGTAGTAGGAAACATGAAATAAAATAAATTTGCAAAGTTACGTTCTTTGTTTCTGAACCTTAAGACTGAAGAGAAAATGTATTGTTCCAGGTCTCGGTGTCATTCAAGGATGTGACTGTGGAGTTCAGCCAGGATGAGTGGCGGTACCTCGGTCCTGCTCAGAGGATGCTGTACAGAGAAGTGATGCTGGAAAACTACAGCCACCTCATTTCCATGGGTAAGCATACTGACCAGGTGACTCTGGAACGCACATAATTTCCTCCTTTGGCAATTTATAAATTACTTATTCAACAGAAAATATTAATTTTTACTGTATAATTTGGGGAATTTAAGAAATGTTTGTAGGTAAAGATAGGTGTGTTGTTGATGTAATGGCATGTAATGATTCTCTCACTCCAGATGTTTCCATGTAACTGTTTGCAATCATTCCTGTTCTCAGCTCCCACCCCTGTGCCCTCAATAATCTATCAACCAACCACTAATCCAGTTTCTACTGCATTGGTTTTGGGTTTTTAATTTATCTTTTATATTGAATCACTATGAGATATAGTTACAAAGCTGTACATGGTTTGGTTTCAGTCTGTATATAGTTTTCCAACACCTGTCCCTTCAGCAGTGTATAATCTCTTACCACCAGGGTCCCCAGTTTTCTTCCTGCCACGCCCCCCTCCTCCAGGTTGCCTCTGTTGCAGGCACTTCCCTTCTCCCTAGCTCCCTTTCTCCCTCCTCCCACCTTCTCTCTCTTATTGATATGGTTATTATGTTGATTGACTTGGTAGTGTAAACCATCCTTCCATCCCCAGGATAAATCTTCCTTGGTCATGTGACAAAGCTTGTTTTGCTGTTATTCTTGAAGCTGGATTTAGATCCAAAAGTTTGTCAAGCAAATCATAAGCTTCATCTGGTACTTTATCCCAGCCGTCTAAATTGGCAGTCACGATCACGATCATCCTGTTGTTTGTTGATTTCCTCGAGCAGGCACCAGTAACGTCTTCTTCTTCTTAGCCCTGAGATTTTTAAAAGAGTCATTTTAATGCTTTTTCAGGATTAGAAGAATGAGATCCATCATTGTTACTGGTATTTGGCATATTGAGTACAACATGGGAAGTTTGCCAGACTCTGCCGTGCGGGCAGGATACTTTTGGTAGCCTGCCAGGTTCTCCAATGGAAAAATAAGATAATAAGATGTCGCACGGCCGCAAATGCAGCCGCACACTTCCAGGAGCTGGGTTTTATAGTCTCTGCATCTTGGCCGTTGATGGGACCAACCTGGTGCTGGCAGCAGCTGGTGGGTGTGATACCTACCTATTGGAAGATGGGGGGTCTGGGTGGAGAAGGCCCAGTCCCAATCTGAGTAGGCTTGGAGACCTCAGCCCCAGGACCTGCATGCCTGGTTTCCTCTGCCAGTTCTTTCATGCATGAGGCCCGCCCGGATGTGTGGAGAGTGGTCCCAGCATGGCCGCGGCTGGCTCTGGAGGTCCTATTAATATGGCTATTAATATGATTAATTAAATTGTGCATATAAACAAATTTGAAGTCAGCCTGCAAATTTTAAGTAAGCTATCCTATAAAGGACTAAAATGCACAAAAAGGGGCTATATATTCATCAAAATCACCTCTACTACAGCCATTACTGTCTTCTTTATACAATGAATTCCCTGAGCACTGTTCTTCAGGTGTTTATGTAAGGTGGGAAGCTTTATGAACAGTCTTCTCAATAATATTTATTCTTCTCAATAATAATAATTATTCTCTTCATGTGAATAATCTGTCTCATGAAGAGCAGGTCTCTGTATATCATTTGTTAATTTGGGAGTATTAGAATCCAGACCCCTGAGCTTAAGAACCCACAGAGAGTTCTTAAGTCTCTTTTTAAAGCTTTTTAACCTTAAGTTTTTTAAAGATTGAACTTGTGATTATTATTCATTAGTAATGTTTGCTGTTGTGTATTGTGAAGTCATTGAAAGTTGTTTGTAATATTTGTATAAAATAAATAATTTATTTTAAAATGTTAGTATTTTTTATAGCAGATCCTAAAATCTGGAGCATAGGTTTTTGGACAAGCAATCTGATGTAGATCTTCCAAAGTAGCAAATTAGATCTTTAGTTTCCCTTATTCGGTCACTGCTGTGTTGATAAAGAAGCAGTGTTGGGGCTGGAGCAATAGCACAGCGGGTAGGGCGTTTGCCTTGCACGCAGACAACATGGCCAACACAGGTTCGATTCCCAGCGTCCCATATGGTCCCCCGAGCGCCGCCAGGAGCAATTCCTGAGTGCATGAGCCAGGAGTGACCCCTGAGCATCGCTGGGTGTGGCCCAAAAAGCAAAAAAAAAAAAAAAAAAAAAAAAGAAGCAGTGTTGTCCTAGCCTGTAATTTGGAGTTCAAGGCACAAGTCTTGAAAGTAATCAATATGATAGGGAGAAGGTATGTTGGGGTTTCTTCAAGCTATGTGTTCCGTTAATGGCTTGCTGCTGGTACCTGGTACCCATTCTTGTGGTAAAGAAAATTTCCTTCACTGTGGGTACACATTAGCATGCCAGAATCTCCTTCGTTATCGGATTTCACCAGACAAATCACTCCACCAACTAAGAATGGCCATGCACCACCACCCACAGAATCGAGAAAGAGCTATCAATCTGTCAATCCTGTCTGTGTCCGGGCCGGGTGAGGTTTCCCATGTTGAGTCAAATTAAGCCACAGGCTCCACTACTGGGCTGGAGCGATAGCACAGCGGATAAGGCCTTTGCCTTGCATGATCAACATGGCCAACCCGGGTTCAATTCTTCCGCCGCTCTTGGAGAGCCTGGCAAGCTACCAAGAGTATCATGCCCGCACGGCAAAACCTGGCAAGCTACCCGTAACGTATTCAATATGCCAAAAACAGTAACAAGTCTCACACTTTGTTGTGAGATGCTACAGATGCCCGCTCGAGCAAATAGATGAACAATGGGAGGACAGTGCTACAGTACTTTTTTTGTGGTGTCTCTGATTTGGGTATCAGGGTGATGTTTGCCTCATAGAAACTGTTTGGGAGTGTTTGTTCCTTTGCTTTCCTGGAAAAGTTCAAAAGGGATGGGTATTTGATCATTGTATAATTGAAACCCAAGCACAAAAATTTGTAAGTCTACAACTGTACCTCATGGTATCTCACTAATAAAAATTTTAAAAAGGGGCGGAGGGAGGGATTGGCATTAGGTCTTCTTTAAAGGTATGAAAGAGGGGCCGGTAGCAATAGCACAGCGGGTAGTGCCTTTGCCTTGCACGCAGCTTACCCAGGTTCAATTCCCAGTATCCCTTTTGGTCTCCTGAGTGCATGAGCCAGGAGTAAATATATAAATAAATGAAGGTATTAACGAATTCAGAAGTGAATTGATCTGGGCTTGGCCTTTTGTGGGGGAGGGGGCAGGGAGAATTTCAATTTCCTTGATAGTGATAGATCTATTCAGGTGTTACAGATCTTGTTCAGCCTTGGGAAGTTTTTGGAATCCAAGAATTTATCCATTTCTAGGTACTCTTATTTTGTGGCATAAAAAATACTCAAAGTTATCTCTGATGATCCTTTGAATTTTTTGTGATTTCTATTGTGATATCCCTCTTTCTTTTCTGATTCGGGCTATCAGGGTTCTCTGTTTGTGAGTCTTTCTGGTGGTTTATTGATCTTGTTTATTTTTTCAAAGAACCAGCTCTTTTTTGTATCACACAAGTACTTGTAGCTTGTGTTCTCATTTTTGTTTGCTCCATGAATCTTCTGGTTTTCTGTCTGAACCCACTTGCTCAGCAAGTGACCTGTTAATTGCCAGGTGTTTGATTGTCACTTCTGTGTGTGATTAAATTCTATTTTCAGTGCATCATGATCTTAAAAGATCATTGACACTATTTCCATCCTCTTGATTTTATGAAGCTGCGTCTTGTGGCCCAGTATGTGGTCACGGAGAATGTCCTGTGTGCATTAGAGAAGAATGTATTCGGCTTTTGGGAATGAAAAGCCCTGTAAATATCTACTAGCTTGCTCTCTTCCATTTCCTACTTCAAAGCCAGTATTTCTCTGCTGAGTTTTAGTCTCATTCTATTAAGAAGTGACAAAATGGTATAGACATCTCCAGTTACTGTTGTGTTGCTATCAGTGTCCTCCTTGAAGTCTATTAGCAGTGTTTTATGTATTTTGTTGGTCCCTCATTTGGTGCATATGTTTAGGATTGTGAGTTCTTCCTGATGTATATATCATTTAATTCTTAGGAAATTATCTTCTAACTTTTTTCAGCCTGAAGTCAATGTCACCTGATACTAGTACGACCACCCCAACCATTGTGGGGGAGTTGTCTGCTTGCAGAATTATTTTCCAACCTTTAGCTTTGAGTCTCTGTTTGATCTGACTATTCAAATGTGTTTTTGTAGGCAGCAAAATATTGGATTCAGTTTTTAATCTTATTTTGCCACTTTGTCTCTTAATTGGTATATTTAGGCCATTATCATTGGGAAAGATTATTGTCATGTGTCTTTGTGTCTTCTTTCTGTATAAGTTTGTTATGTTTATGTGGTTTATCTTGCCTAAGTTTCTGAGAACAGACGACTGGTTAAAGAAACTTTGGTACATCTACACAGTGGAACACTGTGCAGCTGTTAGAAAAGATGAAGTCATTAAATTTGCTTATACAAGTGAAGGTCATGGAGCGTATTATGCTAGTGAAATGAATCAGAGAGAGACAGTCATAGAATGACTGCACTCATTTGTGGAATATAAAATAACATAATATGAGACTGACACCAAGGATAGTAGAGACAAGGGCCAGGAGATTGTTCCATGGTTGGAAGCCTGCCTTATGAGCAGGAGGAGAAGGCAGCTGGGATAGAGAAGGAATCACTAAGTCAATGGTGTTTGGAGCGATTGTTTGGGATGGGAGATGTGTGCTCAAAGTAGATAGAGGAATGAATGTGATATCCTCTCAGTATCTATATTGCAAACCATAATGCCCAAAAGTTGAGAGTATGTGGGAAATTGTCATAGAGGCAGGGGACGGGCTGGGATGGGCGGGGGGAAATAATTGGGGACATTAATGGCGGAAAATGTGCACTGGTGGAAGAATGGGTGATCATTGTAAAGTAGCACCTTCAGTTTTTCTTTCAAAATTGATTTTGAGTCTGTGAAGTTCCTGAACTGTTGTTTATGTGTGAATTTATGTATCATTCCTTCAAATCTGAATGAGTCTGGATGGGTAAAATATTCTTGGTGAGGCCTTCGTTTCATTAAGGTTTTTTTTAACTGTGTCCCACTGTTGACCTCAGACCTGGAGGGTTTTGTTTGATTAAATCTGTAAATCTAAGGGATGCTTTTTGTAGACTTTCCTTTCATCGTGTTACTTTCAATGTTATATCTCTATGGTTTTCATCATTCTGAATCAGATATGTCTTGGAAGTTTGTTTGGGTTTCTTTCAGCTGGTACTCTTTGTGCTTCCTACTGCTCTGGGAACTTTCCAGCAATGATGTCTTTGACTGTAACTTCCTCATTGGATTCTTCTGGGAATCCAATCATACTTACGTTGTTCCTCTTGAATTTATCCTCAAGTGCTCTTGTGTACCATTCATTTTGAGTATTTTTGAACAGCATCTTCTAGTATTGCCTGAAGGTTTTCTGCATCCCCAAGCTCACTGATTCTGTCTTCATCTGCTGTTACTCTACTGGTGAGGGCTTCCATTGAGATTCCCTTTGACCTACCAAAAATCTTAATAATATTACTGCTTGTAATTTTCTTACTTCTGCTCTCATATCCTTCTGTGCTTTATTGGATGTCTGATTCATTGTTTGAGCTCTTTAAACATCCTTACCATTTCGTCTCAGTACTCTTTTATCAGAGAGATTATGTAGGTGGCTATTTCTTGTTGAGGCTTCAGGGCTCCTATCTTCATCCAGTCCTTGTGGTGGGGGTTCTCTGCTTTGTCCCCATGATGCCTGTGGTAGTCTGGAGGTGATTCTTTGCAGTACACTATCAGCATCACCTGCTTCACAATTATTGAGGACTCTGGAGGAACTTGGTAGGTGACAGTCTCTTCTTTCCCTGTCAAGAATATTCCCCCACCCCCTTTTCAGTTTGGTGTTTCTGTGTAATTATGTGGGGCTTCTTGCACTGATTCAGGTAATGGGTTCTTTGACCTCAACTTACTGCTGCTCATTGATTAGGGTTCTGGTGTTTCTTGCGCTCACCGCTACTTTTGTGGGTTTGCGGGGAGTGTTGATTGTAGTAGGACCTAATGGACTCCTGGCTTAATGTAGTTAGAGTAGCTAGGCTGCACTGGTCAGAGTTTATTGTAGGAGGCAGTGGATCTTAATGGGATATGGAGCGGGAGAGTAACTAGACATCCCGCTGGGAAAATCACACCCACTGCTAGTCTGACCTCTGGGAGGAGCCACGCATCAGTGGCCTTCAGGCCAGTTCCCTCTGGGGTGCTTGCAGCTATTGGCAGAGTATTGAGTCCCAACGTCTTGCTTGCTGAAAAGTTCCTTCCTGCTGGTCATTCACCGGCAAAGGCTTCAATGGGGCACTATGGCTGGGCACCTGCTTTGAAAACTATGACTACTGCTCACCTGACACCAGGATCAAAAGAAAGAATGGTGCAGCATCAACACATGCAGAAGTCTGGGAGGATGGTTTACAGGGAAAGGTATATATATATATTATACATGTGTGTATATATATGTACATTTTTTAAAGCTCATTCAGATATTTAACACAAGACTTACAGATTGGCAAATTGGGAACATTCTTTTGTATTTTCTCTTTGAAGCTTTTTGCTTAGTTTTTGGTTTGGGAGTTTTGTGCCACACCCAGCAGTGCTTACGGTCTTCTCCTGATTCTGCTCAGTAAACCATATGTGGTGCCAGCAGTCAAACCAGAGGTTTGAGTTTTTTATATAATCTAGAAATGATTACTGGTGATTAAATTCTTAAAATGCCAGTGTAGAACTGAAAAAGTGAAGATGTTGAGATGTTTAGTGTGGGAGGATTTGTGTCTAATTAGAAATACACTTTAGACTTTTTATACCACAGTAAATGTGAATCTTTATTGGAGTTTAATTTAGTTTTAGTTAGAGATTTAGGAATTTCAGGAGATTTATTTTAAGATTGGAACATTTATATATATATATATTTTTTCCACCTGAAAGATCCACCCCTCTCAGAGAGCCTGGCAAGCTGTCACACGACAGAGCCTGGCAAGCTCCCTGTGGTGTAAAAATAGTGCCAAAAATAGTAACAATAAGTCTCACAATGGAGACGTTACTGGTGCCTGCTCAAGCAAATCGATGAACTGGAAGACAGTGCTATAGCGTGCTACAGTGCTACCTGAAAGATAAACTGAGTATCTTTACTAGGTCTCTTGGGTTGCTGTACTTTTCCCCAAATTCAGATATCAAATTTCATGCATGATCCCATGTCCTAAATGACCTTTCCATTTACAGGATATTGCCTTATAAAACCAGAAGTGATCTTCAACCTGGAACATGGAAGAGACCCATGGTTATCGGAAGATGAATTTCTAAACAGGAGTTGTCCAGGTGAATGTTTGGAAAGCTAAATCCAAAATGAGGTCAATGATAGGCATCCTTAGGAAGCATCTTTACAAATAAGTAGATATAATAAAACATGGTTATAATATTTGAGATCCTATGTAATTTCATTTTCTTATTTTTTAAACTGAGCGGCGGTATATTATTTCTACCTGCCAAGTAAGTTAATTTGACAACTATTACCACAAAAGATTATAAAGTCATTTAAAAAGGAAAGCTAATGCTGGGAAAAGGGAGATGGAATAGTAACTTGATCAGTGTCGTTATAAATCACTAAGCTCTGAAAAATAAGAGTTGCAAAATGTATAAGTAAGTGTAATTATTATAAAATTAGAAACAACTATTACCATTATTAGGAAAACACTCAGTTAATAGAAAAAAATCTTAGCACTGCAAAATCAGAAGTCACCACATTGTCAAATGATATCACGTCAAAATTCTATTATAAAAGAACCTGTGGCCAGAGGAGACAGCACAGGCATGCAGTCCCCTTGGCTCCATTCCTAGCATCACACACTGTCCTCTGAGCACAGCCAGGGGTCACTTGTGAGCTCATATCAGGAATAGCCCCTGGCCACCACCATCTTTAGAGATGTCTCCATTTTTCCTTTTCTTTCCTTTTTTTTTTTTAAATTTAATTTCTATTAGTGAAACACTATGGGGTACAGTTGTAGACTTACAAACTCTCATGCTTGGGTTTCAGTTATACAATGATCGAGTATCCATCCCTCCACCAGTGCCCATTCTCTCCCACCGATGATCCCAGTAACCCTCCCGTCCTCGCCACTCCATGCCCCCCACTGCCCCACCTCTGTGGCAGGGCATTCCCTTTTTCTCTCTCTTTTCTTTAGGGTGTTGTGGCTTGCAATAGAGGTATTGTGTGGGCATCATGTTTTGTCTGTAGTCTACTTTCAGCACGCATCTCCCATCCTGAGTGTGCTGTTCTCTTTACTTAGTCTTCCCTTCTCTATCTAAGCTGCCTTTTCCCCTAGCATGTGCTGCCAGCTTCCAAGCCATGGAGCAAACCTCCTGGTACTTATCTCAACTATTGTTGGATGTTAGTCTCCCATTCTGTTACTTTATATTCCACAGATTCCATATATTCTATGTCTGTCCCTCTCTTTTTGACTCATTTCAAGATGTCTCCATTTTTCAAAGAGGCTTGAAGTAAGCAACATTCCCACCAGTGGTAACACTTCTTTTTCTGCCTCTGGTTTTCACTGGTGTGAGGTGATAACTTCATTGTCATTTTGAGTTGCATTTCAGTCATATTCAGTGAAAATGAGCACTTTTTTCATATTCCCCTTAGTCATTTTTAAGTCATCTTTAAAGAACTGTTGATCTCCCAACATTTTAAATGGGATTCTCTTAAATTGAGTTTTGAGAGTGCTTTGTATGTTTTAGATATTAGCTGTTTATGTTTGAATGTTTTCTCCCAAACATTGGAACATCTTAGTTTCCTTTCACAGTGCAAAAGCTTTTTGATTTGATATAGTACGATTTGTTTTTCTTTTGTTTTCTTTGCCAATGGGGCTAATATCACTGAAGACTGCTCTGAGGTCAGTATATTGGTGGGTCCTGCCTGTATTTTTCTGAGTATATTTTATTGAAACAGGTTTGAGGGGCCAGAGTGATAGTACAACTGGTAATGTGTTTGCTCTATATGCAGCCGACCCAGGTTTTATCCTAGTACCCCCTAATTGTCTTAGGAGCCAGACAGGAATAATCCCTAAGCTCAGCCAGGAGTAAGCCCTGCGTATGGTCTGGTTCCGCACCCCTCAAAAAGAATGAAGAAGAAGGAACAGGCTTAATATTTAAGCCTTAAATCCACTTGTAATTAACCTTTGTGAATAGTGTGAGGTAGGGGTCTTTTTCATTTGGTTTGTAGCTACCCAGTTTTCCCAGCTTCATTTTTGGGGAAAGACTCTCCTTGTTCTATTTCCTGTATCTAGTCCCTTTGTTGTAAATAAACTGCCCATACATTGAAGCGTTTATCTCCAGACTTTAAGTTCTATTCCATTGATGAAGATCTGACTTTGTATTTATACCATGCAAATTTAATTTACTGTAGTAAAGAATAAGGTCTAGGAATGCAGTTCCTCTAGGTTTCCTATTTCTTAGGGTTGCTTTGGTGCATTGGAAGTTCTGTGGTTTAAACACACAAATTTTACAAGTATTTGTTCTGTGTCCTTAAAACATTTCCTGGGAATTTTGGGTGGTTTTTGTGTTTGGGTTGGTCTGGGTTTTTGTTTGTTTGGGGTTTTTTGTTTTGTTTATTTTTTCTTGGTTTTGGTTTCAGGGGCATACCTAGTGATACTTGGGGTCTTATTCCTGGCTCTGTGCTCAGGAATTGCTCCTGGCAGTGGTCAGGGGATCCCGTGTAACAATTCTGGGTTGACCATATGCAAGACAAGTTCTCTACCCACTGTACTGTCACTCCAGCCCCTTCCCTGGAAGTTTTGATGGAACCGCATTACTCCTGTAAATCAATCTGAGTAATAGGTAAGATGGCCATTTTAATGCTGTTGATTTTCATGGATGTTAATCCATGAACCCAAAATATGTTTCAATTTCCTTGTGTCCCCTTTTATTTCTTTCCAAATTTATAATTTTAACTAAATGTCTTTCACCTCCTTTGTTAAATTGATTTCCAGATATTTTAGTTTCTTTGACACCGTCATAAATGGGACTTTTTAAAAAAGCTTTTCTCTTTTACATCATGGATAGCATGTAAGATTCCAACAGACTTCTATGTGTTTTTGCAGCCTGTTGCAACTAAGCTATATATAAATTTATTATTTGTGACTTTTTTAGTGAACTCTATATAGAATATTAAGTAGTAGAAAGTAGCATTAGATTACTAATCTCAATTCCTTTGATTTTTCTTGCCCGCTTGCTATAGGAAGGCCTCCCAATGCTGTGTTGAACAGTAGGGGTAAATTCAGTAGACACCCTTGTCTTCTACCTACCCATAAATGAAAAGCTCTCCATTTTTCCCATTAAAGATGACTTTTTGTTGCAAATAACCTTTACAATATTGAGGTAAATTCTTTCAATTTCTGTTTAGTTAAGAGTTTTCATCATGAATGGCTGTTCGATCTTGTCAGATTCTTTCTCTGCATCTATGGAGATGATCATCTGCCTTTTTTATATATAAAATAGTTCACAATATTTGATTACATTTAATATTTGAACACCAACCCCACCAACATTACACCTTCCCACCACCATATTTCAGATGTTTCCATCCCTGAATCGCAATCCCTGCCCCAAAGCAGAACTGAAATAAATTTAATTTGTATTGTTTGTTATGAAAAACCACTGAAAATGCTCTGAAAAAGTTTCCTTAGAGGAAAAAGTGTGAAGAGTGTTCTATTTCACCCAGGGGCCATTAAGTCCTTCTATAAGAGATCGCTAACATGTTGTTAAAGGTTGAGCCTGTGTGCTTATATATCTGTAAAAGAAAAAAATACTTCCCTCTAAGATGGTTGCTTCCTACTTTAAACCCCATCAGATGTGGTGCAGAATTCTTTAAGTATGGGTGGTGTGAGGTATGACTTGCGGCCGCTCAGTTGGGGAATAGGTTCAGAGTGTGGAGAGCAACCATGAGCAAGGCAGCAGTTGAATTCTGGAGGTTTTCGGCTGCTGGGGCTGGGTCTCTTGGGGCAGGGAGGGGTCTCACCCCAGCCCAGTCTGGGGTACCCCTAATGAGACAGCACGTGGGGGTCTGGCGTCATGGTTATGGCATCACGGTCACGGTCACGGTCCTCCCGTTGTTCATTGATTTGCTTGAGCGGGCCCAGTAACGTCTCCATCATGTGACTTGTTGTTACTGTGTTTGGTACATTGAACACGTCACGGATAGCTTGCCAGGCTCTGCCGTGCAAGCGAGATACTCTCGGTAGCTTGCCGGGCTCTCCAAGAGGGGCGGAGGAATCAAATTCGGGTCAGCCATGTTCGCCGCTTGTAAGGCAAATGCCCTACAGCTGTGCTTATGGCATGTGTCATGATATGCTCTCTTCTGGGAGAGAAGGACATGCACCTCTGGATCGTAGCCAGTGTTGACATTATCTGGTGCCAGCCAGCGGTGACTTAGTGGTGTGACTGCTGAGTTGCCGGAAATGGGGATATGCAGGGAATCCCCATTCCCTGTTCCATTGAACCCAGAGTTTTCAGTCAAAAAGGATCATTTGCTTTTTGTCCTTCCTATTGGTTTTGGGCCATACCATGCTGTGCTCAGGGAACTTCCTGTGAGAGCCCAGGGGGACAGGGACAGTACAGTGCCAGGGATGAACCTCGATTAGCTGCATGCAAGACAAGAACCATTAACTGTCTCTCTGACTTTTGATTTTTATTGATATGTATTACTTTAATTATTGTACACATATTGAGCCATATTGCATCCCTGGGATAAATCCTTGGTATTGATGCACAATGCCTAATGCATTTTATTGAGGAGCTTTGCATTCATTTTCATCAGGTGTTTTGGTCTGATGTTTTCTCTTTTAATATGTCTCTCAGGTTTTGCAATTAAGGTAATGTTGGTCACATAGAAATCTGAAATTTTTTTTTCACCACTTTCTGAACAAACTTGTAAAGAATGGATAAAAAGCCGGGATGACAAGGGAGGTTAGAGGGAAGGAGAGAGCAAGATGGAGAGAGAGAGACAGAGAGAGAGAGAGGCAGGGAGGGTGTGGCAGGAGGGATGCTGAGGACTTTGGTGGTGGGAAATGTACACTGGTTTAGGGATGGGTGTTGAAACATGCTTTGATAGAAAATATATTTTAAAATTTAAATAGAATTTAAATAGTTATTTGGTGGAATCTGGTTTTCTCTAATGTCATGTAATATCATCTGAAAATTATAATAGTTCAGTTTTCTTTCCCTACCCTACACCTATGTCCTTACTATGCCTTGGATGCGAATAATACCATATTGAATAATAATAGAAAGAATAGATCTCCTCATCATGTGCTTAATTTTAGTGCAAGCATTTGCGGTTCCCACCATTAACTGGAACATTAACTGTGGATTTGTTAAAATTACCTTTACTATATTAACAACTAAGGTCCTCCTATCCCCATTTTGTTGAAAGTTTTTATTATGAATTGTTGCTGAATCTTGTCAAAGACTTTCTCTGCATCTGTTGATGTGGTCAGCTTTTTGTTGCTGTTGTTGTTAATGTGATGTCACATTTATTTACATATATGGAACTATCCTTGGGATAAATCCCACTTGGTCGTGGTGTATAATTCTTTTAATATGTTGTTGATTTTGGTTCACTAACATTTTGTTGAAGCACATTGGTTTGTGGCTTTCTATTTTATTGATAGGGCTGCCTCTGTCAGCTTTGGGTGTGTAGTGTTGGCCTAACAGAAACTGTTGAAATGAATGTCTATTTCTCATTTTACTGAAAAAAAAAAAACTTGACAAGATTAGGTAGCGCATGGGACCTTCTTAAAGATTTTGAAGAACACTAGCAGAACAGGATTTGTTTGGGAGGAAAGTTTGAGTATAGTTTGAATTTCTGTACGTTATTTGTCTATTCAGGTTTCTGTTTCCTCCTAATTCATTTTCAGGAGATTGGAGGATTTTGAAAATGTTTTATTTCTCTCGGAGAGCCCGGCAAGCTACCGAGAGTATTCGATATGCCAGACACAGCAAACAACAAAGTCTCCAATGGAGACGTTACTGGGCCCGCTCGAGCAAATCGACGATCAACGGGAGGTCCTTTACCTTACCTTTACCTTTATTTCTTCTAGATTCTCCAATTTCGTGGCATTAAGTTGTTCATAATAGATCTTTACTCCAATGGAGACGTTACTGGGCCCGCTCGAGCAAATCGACGATCAACGGGAGGGCCTTTACCTTTACCTTTATAATCTTTCATATTTCTGTTATCTTTTGTAACTTCTTTCTTTTTTTTTTCTTTTCGGGTCACACCCAGTGATGCACAGGGGTTACTCCTGGCTCTGCACTCAGGAATTACTCCTGGCGGTGCTCAGGGGACTATATGGGATGCTGGGAATCAAACCCGGGTCGGCTGCATGCAAGGCAAATGCCCTACCTGCTTTGCTGTCACTCTAGCCCCTGTAACTTCTTTCTTTTCATTTCAGTATAATTTATTAGTACAGTCTTATTTTTTTCCTTTGTGAATCTAGCTAAATATCTCTATTCTTTTGGAAAAACATCTCTGGCTCTCATTTTTTTCTCTCTTTGACCCAATCATTTTCCATATATGTTTTATCTCCAGATTTTTTTTCCTCCAGCTTTCTTTATAGATTCTATAGGACTCTTAGAAGTTTTTTATTATTCATTTCTGCCCTTATAGCATTCTCGTCTGAAAAGATACTTTCTTTTCAATTTCAATGTTCATGGCTTTATTGACATTAGTTTTGTATCCCAGCATATGGTCTGCTATGGAGCATTTTCCATGTTCATTGGAGAAAAATGTGTAGTTGACTTTCTGTTGATCGATATCCCTATAAGTGTGTATTTAATGTATTTTTCTAGATGATTATTTAAAGCTGATTCATTTATTTTGTTTTGTGGGATTGTTATATTACAGTTTTCTACTGGTAAGGTGATGGGTGTTGGAACACTATGAAACTCAGTCATGAACAGTTTTGAAACTGTGTATCTCACAGTGATTCAATAAAAATATTTTTCTAAGTTTTCTGCTACTGTTGGTTGAGCTCACTCTTTAAAAGCTGCTATTTATACTTTATGAAACTCCTTCATTTGCTGCATAGATCTTAACATGTTATAAATCTTTTTATGTTGAATTCTTTATTATTATATACTGTAAATTCATAGGTTTCATTCCTTTTTAGTTTCTGTATTTTCTCTGATAAAAATGTGGCACCCAGATTTTTTTTCCAGAAATTTTACTTTGAGTCTGTGTTTATGTTAGAAGCTCAAGTGTCTCTCTTAAAAGTAGCACATGCTTGGATTTTTGTTTTCTGATCTGTCTGACTACTCTCTGCCTTTTGATTGATAATTTTGTGCCACTAATGTTTAGTAAAATCATAAAATTACTGGGGCAGGAATGGTATCACAGCGGGTAGGGCGTTTGCCTTGCACGCTGCCGACCCAGGTTCGATTCCCAGCATCCCATATGGTCCCCTGAGTACTGGCCAGGAGTATTTCCTGAGTCTGAGTGCAGAGCCAAGAGTAACCCCTGTGCATCGCTGGGTATGACCCAAAAAAGCAAAAAAAAATCATAAAATTACTTAAAAGTATATTTTATGTATGTGGATACTGGTTTGTATCTTTGTCTTGTTGGCCTCTTTTTGTTACCCCCTTTCTGTTGATACCTGCTTGCTGTGTGATGATCAATTTCCATTTAACTTTCATGTTTTCTATGTATATAATGATTTGAGATTGTCAGGAAATTTGCATTTGAAATGTTAAGTATATATTCCTAAGTTTTAAACAAACAAGTAACTAAGTTTATTACGACATGTCCCATTATTACTCCTTCTTTTCCACATTTCATGTTTTTAGTTTTCTTGCCACTTACATAGGGTAACTTTGCCTTTTGTAGAAGACCATTTACAAGTTCTTACAGAGCTGGTCCAGTGGATTTAAATCTTTTAGCTCTTATTTGTATAAAAATCTTTTTATCAGTTCTTCAGACTAACAGATAGGATTGTTACCTGTTTACTATCCTTGCTTGGATGGCTTTTTTACTTAGAAATATCATATACCATTTAGTTTTATTATTCTATTTAACATGAGTCTTTGCTTTATTCTTCTGCTTTTAAAAATCTATCTTTGGCATTTACCATTTAAGTGTTTTGGTTCAGGTTTTTTGTTTTTAATGCTGGGCTTCCTGTATTTGAATGTCTCCATCTTCATACTGGGGACAAGCTATAATTTCACACTAGTTCTTTGCTTTTCTTGCATCCCTCTTTCTGTAAGCCCTATGATGTGAATGTTTTATTTTTTTGTACTGCTCTCCCATTTCATATATTTTCACTTTTAATTCTTTTTTTAATTTATTTCCCTTATCCTTCAGCAAACTGATTTATTCTCCCAGTTTTTGGTATTCTAATGCTGAACCCCTTTATTGTTTTTTATTAGCTAAATGACTATTCCTTAGCTCAGAAATTTCTGAGCACATTTTTCTTTCATGCAAAAAGCACTGTAGATATTACTTTGTGACTAGGTACTTGGATCTGACCTGCCTACATACTTGCATCCCTCCCCAATGGCTCCACATAACTAACAGAAATAAATTTAATGAAACTCATTTCAATACTGAAAATGAAAAAACTGGGGCTGAGCAAAAGTCCTTTTACTAAAATCAGTGGTCTTATTTTTTTTAACTTTATTTAAGCACCATGGTTTACACTGTTCACAATACAGTTGTTTTAGGTATTCAGTATTCCAACAGCAGTCCCACCACCTCTACCAGTGTTCCTAGTATCCAACTTTCTTGGCAGACACTAACTTACTTCATATTGTTTATTACAACAACATCTCATAACGGTGTTGCTAAAGTCATGACTTGGGGATTTACTGAACTATTAGGTATATATTGGACCTTCTGTGTTACAGTTTTCACTCATCGAGCTTAGTGGGCTTCTACTCAGTTTTCCCATCTAATTCTCTTGTCTTTCCTGTGCTGTCAGCTCTGTGAAGTTTGGAGTGGTTGCTTGGCCACATGTGGCTGAACACTTCAGGGGCTTTGCAGCTGGACTGAGCAAGTGCAGATTTCTCACTGTCCTCTCTGAGATCAGTCCTGAAGCTGGGACTTCTGGCCATGGAAGGAACTGGATATGGGTGGGTGGAGTGTTGGACCTTCGGCAGGGCAGGTTTGCCCCCATTCTGCCTCGGGTTTAAAAATCTTGGCCAGTGGTAGCCAGGCCTTCCTGGAGTAACACAGCTTCCAGTGTATCTCTGAGATCATTCCTGAAGCTGGGCTATTTCTCTGGCAGTGGCAGAAGTTAAGTGTGAATGGGTGGAGCCCTGGACCTTTCACAGAATGGGGGCTCTGTTTTTTGGGGATTTTTTTTAAGTTTACTGCACATCAGTTATTTTTTATACTTAGTCATTTTACTATAGCATGGTAATATTTTCCATATAAGGGTGCTTTCATTAATTCTGTGGTTGTAAAAATGTCAGTAGAAATTTTGAAAATTTGTTTGGAAGTGAGTTTGTGGGGTAGGGAATGAGAGGGAGGGGTCTTAGGGTCCTTGGAAGGAAGGAAGATGAGTATACTAGTGATGTGGTGTTGGAATAATGTGTTTAAGAAATCATTAGTAGTATTGTAAGCCATAAAATCTTAAATCTTAGTTAAGGGTAAGCCATAGAATCTCAGTTAAGGGCCAGAGTGAAAATACAGTGGGTAGGATACTTGCTTTGCATGAGGCTAACCCAGGTTCAGTTGGTGGCACCACATATGGTCCCTCAAGACTAACCAGGATTGATCCCTGAGAAAAGAGCCAGGAATAAGTCCTGAACTTATCCTGCAAATTATGACCCCCAAAATTAAAAAAGAACCTCAATTAAAAAAATAAAATTTTTTTAAAAGAAATTACCTGTGTAATAAATCTACCCTTACTGTCTCTTCAGGTATTCATGTGGAAAAGAGCCACCCTGAATTTAAAAAAGAATGTAATAAAATTGGGGGCAATTTCAGTGAAGTTACTGAACTTCAGAGAATTGAAACAGGAAGTGAAACTTTTAATCAAGACATACATTTTCAGCAGTTCCCAAGAACTCACACCGGAGTGAAATCTCTTGAGGGTGGAAACACCCTGTACCACTGTTTAGCCATGACCATACAAAAGACAACTCACATACTAAAGCCATCTTCTGATCAAGATGTCTCCTCTAGGGAAACTTTCCTTTCTCAGTCAGCCTTTACTGTGCATCAGAGAACTCACAAAAGAAGAAAATATTATAAATGTAGTGAATGTCAAAAAGCCTTCACTAGAAAGTCATGCCTTAGTGTTCATCAGAGAATACACACAGGGGAAAAACCTTATGAATGTATTGAATGTGGTAAAACTTTCAGCCACAAGTCAAGCCTTGGAACTCATCAGAGAATTCACACTGGGGAGAAACCATATGAGTGTAATGAATGTGGCAAAACCTTTAGCCTGAAGTCAAATCTGAGAATTCATCAGAGAATTCACACTGGGGAGAAACCATACAAATGTAATGAATGTGGCAAAGCCTTCAGCCAGAAGTCAGGTCTTGGAAGTCATCAGAGAATTCACAGAAGAGAGAAGCCCTATAAATGTGATGAATGTGGGAAAACTTTCAGAGAGAAATTAAACCTTACGGATCATCAGAGAATTCACACAGGGGAGAAACCCTATGGGTGTAATAAATGTGGTAAAACTTTCAGCCGTAAATCGAGCATTGTAACACATCAGACAACTCATGCAGAGGAGAAACCCTATAAATGTGATGAATGTGGGAAAACTTTCAGGCAAAAGTCAAACTTTAACATACATCAGAGAATTCACACAGGGGAGAGACCTTATGAATGTAATGAGTGTGAGATGGCTTTTACATCCATGTCCTACCTTAGAATGCATCAGAGATTTCACACAGGGGAGAATCTCTATGAATGTAATGAATGTGGAAAAACTTTCACACGGAAATCAATCCTTGGAATACATCAGAGAAGTCACACAGGAGAGAAGCCCTATAAATGTGATGAATGTGGGAAAATGTTCAGCCAAAAATCAAACCTTGGAATACATCAGAGAATTCACAAAGGTGAGAGACCCTATGAATATAATGAACGTAGTCATGCGTTTATCTACCTACCATACTTGAGAACTCATCAGAGAATTCACACAGTGGAAAGTACCCATATATGTACTGAGTGTGGTAAAACTTTTAGTCGAAAGAAAAGACTTGGAAAGCATCAGAAAACTCACTCAGAGAATAAGCACAATAAATGCATTGAATGTGAATTTGGCATTCATCAACTATTCTCTCCTCTAGAAATGGCAGAAAATGTATGAAGTATACATACCCTATTAATGTGGGGAAATTTTCAGTTATGGAAACCTATGAAATAAACAAGTGGGTTTTTTGTTTGTTGTCTATAATATGTTTATTAGCTAAACCCTGAAAAGCCAAACATTAATACTGTGATAGGGCTTGCATCACTATTATGAAGGGGTCTTCCAAAAACAAAAGCCTCAAAGAGATGTTTAGATATTGGATATTTATACTATTTTTCCAAAAGGGCAGTATATTTGTAGAGAATTAATAGTAAACAATAAGGAGTTTTGAATTTTAGAGATTTTATGACAAGATGAGTACTCATGAAGTCAGTGATAAATTATTAATATTTGTAAAGCTCTAAGTTGGTGCCATTTCTTTTTTTAACAAAGCAACATTTATAGCACAGCGGTAGGGCGTTTACCTTGCACGCAGCCAACATGGCCGACCCGAGTTCGATTCCTCCGCCCCTCTGGGAGAGCCCAGCAAGCTACCGAGAGTATCTCACCCGCACGGCAGAGCCTGGCAAGCTACCCGTGACGTACTTGATATGCCAAACACAGTAACAACAAGTCTCGTGATGGAGACGTTACTGGGCACGCTCGAGCAAATCGATGAACAATGGGAGGACCATGACCGTGACCGTGAAGTATCACATTTTACCAATAAAGTGTAGAACCCTATAGTATTGATGCATTCTCTTATCATGCACAGTGCTTCGGTTCTCTTAAAATTCAATTTAAAACTGTAATTTAAAATGTACCCCAAAATCGCAAAGCTTCTGAAAAGGAACCTCATAGAATTGGTGTCATTTCTAATGAAAAGCCTTGTCTCTTCCTCCAATGGGGTGATTATTGGGTATGTCACAGGGTAAACACCATGCCATTAGGCAGGTAGAGGAAGAGCGACAGAGGCTTTTATTGTCTTCTGTTGAAATTTTAAGTCTAAATCCTTAATGCCAGAGTGCCCTAATTTGGGGTGGCATATTCTGATGACCTTCATAACACAGAAGAAAATTTATAAATGTAATAAATATTGAGATTTCTACCAAATCCTAGTATCAAAACAGGGAATAAAGCATATGTGTAATTTATGTGGAAGAACTCAAATCTTAATAGATCTAATGTCTTGTTAACCACATCAGAAAACTTACCATGTATAACTATAAATGTCATTTTTTTTCTACCTTGGAATCAGACCCTTGAGAATGTGAGGAGGCAAGTAGGGGAAACTATCAAGATAAAGAAAGTAGGTAAAAATATTCACTAGTCAGAGCTAAGGAAATACTGCAGGATTTGCTGAGGCCATTATTCTTGGCTCTACATTCAGGAATCACTCCTGACAGTGCTTGAAGGATATCATATGGGCTGCCAGGGATTGAACCCAGGTGGACTGCAGGCAAGACAAGGTAGATTTAAAAGCTAATAAGCTAATAATAGACATTTTTAACACATCAGGGTAATGATAGTTTCACTAGTCTGCTGAGAATCCACTTGATCAGTGACATGTCTCGGGTCAGGAAGAAGGGCACAGTCAAGAGCATATGCTCTGCATGAGGGAGTTCAATCCCAAGCACTGCATGGTACTCCAAGCATGGTACTGGGAGTATCCCCTAAGCACTGCCAGGTGTGGCACAGAAACAACAAAAACGCTTACTGCTGGATTTAAAATCCTTATCTTCCCCCGTTTGAACACAATCTTCAATTTCTTATTTTAAAATTAATTCCTATATTTCACAAGATCATTGCAGGGAGTTCATTGGCTGAATGAGATACAATCAAATTTTTTTATTCCACTCCATATTTCAAGAATGAAGATTAATTTTTTTAGGTTCTCAATATGACCACTCATTTCAACTTGTCAAGAACCACTATTTACAGTTACTACTGGAAGATAGGCGTTGTTTCTGGGGAGACTAACTAGAATTTTTTTTCCACTTTTCAACTTCTGTTCTTAAGTGCCCCCCAAAACTTGTGACTTACATGGTCAATCCCGAAGTCCCATCTCACCACTATGTCCGTGTAGAATGCTGAATGCTGCCATCTTGAGAGCATTGTGAAGGGACGTTCAGCTGTCTGCTCAGTACCATTTGGAGTGTTGTGCAAGGATGAAATCTGATTTCAGTGAATCCTCTGAGAAGTATGATGATTGGATTGAAGTCGTCAGGAATCAGACCAAAAAGATTCTATCTACTCTATCCTTGCTAGTGGTCTTTTCTGTAGGGTAGTTTCCGGGAAAAAGCAGCCCTGTGTACTTGAATCTTGGTTTAAAAGTGTACCTTTGAGAATGATGTGTGAGAAGGTGACAAATCTATTCTTTTGAAATGCATAGAATTGCATTCAGGATGTAGTTACACAAATATTTTTATAGGTGTATCTTTGCTCTATGTGTATTTTAGGGACAACATATGATAAGGTGTTTCATAGGAGTTGCACATGAAGAGTAGATTCTTCATCCCCATTTTCAGTTGCACATTTTTCAAAATATACAGTGTTTTGTGAAATTAAAACTATATCTGTGGAACTTCACCTTCATTTGATCAGCACCAACATGCCTTAGGATGTTCAAACAAGAACTATTCATGTTCTACTCTGTTTAGGATGAATATAATGATGTTGGAGACTTATTTCTAATGAAATTTTATTTAGTCTATGGTTAGTGTTAACAAGTATGTTTCATGGTGCCAAATGATTTATCAGATACCATTAGGTCTGAAAACAAAACGGCAATTACATTTCATGAAGGCTGAGGAGGGAATCTTAGACATCCCATTGATGGAAAAACATGATTACACTAAGATCTCAGTGAAAATTGTCTTAATATTAGACACTAGGTTTAAGAACAAGGTTTGGTTAAACAGGCCCATGAATCAAACTCCACTACCAGTGTAGACTGATAAACTGTGAATTGTTCTGATAAAGTGTATTGCAGTATTTGTGATGAATTATAAGTAAAAACAGTGATGTGAGAGAGTTGAAAAGTGAGTATGGATACAATACTAAGCCCTCATCAGAATATTCCCATCTGACACAAGAAATTGCTACAAATATTAGATAATTTTAAGTGAAATGTCCTGTCATAGAGTTAACTCTCAACATTACCAACAAAATCTAGCTATCAAACCAAGATTCCATGTAGCTTGTGTATTAGCCAAGGAATGCAGCTGAATGTGGCTCCCCTTCGCCAAAGAAAAAAGTTTGATGGAAAGACAAGATGAGGGCAACTGTCCTTGCCAAGAAAAACTTTATAATTCAACTCTAAATTTCCATTAGCGTGATTTCAGTGAAATTTATATTAGAAAGTCCACAAATAACTGATTCTAACACAAATTTCTCAATAAATCACAGGAGAAACAAATTTAAAAAATATTAGTGAGCTGGAACAAATGACAAAAACAAATCTCAATGTCAATTGTGGTCTATCACAGCTGTTGCTAATAGAACTTTATTGGAGCATTGTCATATTCAGTTGCTTACACAATCAATGGCTGCTGTAGCAACTGTGGAGTCCAGTAGTAAAACAGGTAACATTTTTTAGCTTTAGACACCCTACTTTACAAAGTCCTTAGCAGATACTCATTTAAAACAAAATCATTTGTATTTTCTTGCCACTGGTAAAGATTTATGTGCTGCAACCAATTTGACTTATCCATAACAAATTATTTTCAGTTGCACTTTACATATTAAATAAAAGACAGTGCAGCTGGAGCAATAGTACAGTGGGTAGGGCGTTTGCCTTGCATGCAACCAACCTGAGTTCGATTCCCAGCATCCCACATGGTCCCCTGAGCACCGTCAGGAGTAATTCCTGAGTGCATGAGCGAGGAGTAACCCCTGTGCATCGCCAGGTGTGACCCAAAAAGCAAAAATTAATTAATTAATTAATTAATTAAGAACAGTACTTTAAAGTTAAAAATAATTACAACCTCACAATGTGACTTTGGATATTCAGATATTTAGAGAGCCAAAAGAGACTGAAAAAAAATACCAGTGCTAATCTCTACAAACAAGTAAATAACATAACTTGGTAAATTGAACATTAAAGTTTTTTAACCATAGGAATAAAATTGTATGGCAAATAAAATATATGAAATAAAAACAAAAGAATATTTATGACCTACTCATTTATTATATTTACTACTAATCTCCATGAGATTTGTTTCAACAGTCTGTTAGATAATACAGATGTACAAATGTGAGTGGAAGTCTGTGGTGGGTGTGGGTAACAGGAGAAATTCAACCTTTATGGTGGTATTTTTTCCCAGAATCCAATCTTACACTAAGCAAACTATGGAGAAATTTTTTTAATGTCATAATTGTGCTGATAGAATAAATAAAAGCAGTCATTACTTTGGTCCACTCTGACCCTTATTACCTATCTCCAGTAAAGAACCATCTGTAGGGGGAGTTTCAGAACATGTAAGTTGAGGTCACTGGGGGTGGGGACTGGGGGTCATCACACAGCAGCATGGGGAGAGTAGCAACAGACTAGGAACTATCATGCAGACCCACCTACTGCATCTCTTCCTAGTAATATAGTGCCAATCAGAGATTCTCAGTGCCTAGGTGAGGTTCACTTAGAGGAGTTTCATCCACAGAAAAATATTACGATTACTATTTGATCAATATTACCGTTTGATCAGCCTATGTTTCCCTCTGCCATGCCGTCAAGGAATATGTTCAGTCATGCGTGAGGCTCAACTCGGAGCATGTGGAAAGGGGCTTGGAGTGTGGTGACGGTTGGGTTGTGGAAGTCGGCTACCATGGCTGGGTCCCTCTGCGGCGCCCCGTGTGAAAACAGCCTGGCACGGAGTCCAGTGGCATGGTTTATGGGGACCTCATTTTATGCTCCCTTCTGGGAGAAGCATCTGTGAGTTCTGGAAGGTGACTGCTGAGATTATCTGGCACTGGCAGGAGATGGCTTATGGGTGTGACCCCTGGGTCGCTGGAGACTGGGGGAAACAGGCTGAGTATCTCTGCTGTTTCTGGACATTTTGAAATAGACAATTCTCACTGATGTGAGGTGCTATCTCATTGTCATTCTGATTTACATTTCCCTGATGATGATGAACTTTTTAATAATCCTATT